TCTTATTAATCTACAGGTAGTAATAAACATGTATGATAATAATATTTTGAAATGGCAATAAAATAAGATTTTAGTTATTACAAAAGTATTTTATACTATATCTTCTAAGAGTTTAATATTCTTTAAAAAAAATAAAAAAAAATATTAATAATTTTTTATAGTATTATTGTATTGCCAAATATTATAGCATTTATATTAAATGTAATTATAATTATATTTATAATATAATACATTATAATAGATGTAATGCATTATTCTAACAATTTCTATAAAATTAAGTAAATAATCTGTTATTTTTGCAGATTCTAAGAAATTAGATAAATTAATTACTATTTTAATATTATGAAAAATGTTAATTTAATTTTTATTATTAGATAATACATTATTATTAATATATTTTGAAAATAATAAAGTGATAGTATTCTTTAAAAATAGATCTTCTAATCAATTTATTAATAAATTTAACTTCTATTGCTATATTTAAGGTTGCTTGCCTAAACCTCTCCAAAATTCTATGATTAGTTTCTCCAAGATTTTACTATAGTTTTATTATAGTTTTGGCAAAATTTCAGCAGTTTTGGCATTTATAATAAGTTTCGTCAGGTTTCGTCTTTCTCCAGAGTTTTGCTAACTTTTTAATAAGACTTTCATATAGTTTTGGCAAAGTTTCACTATTTCGGCATTTCACTAACTTGCCAAAACCCCCTAGTTTCTCCAGCAACCTTAGCTATATTAGAATTAAATTAGAATTTATTTCTATAAAATAAAAAAAAAGAAAATATTAAATAATGTTTCAATAATAAAAATGTTTTATAATAAAAATGCTGTAAAATTTATCTTTTTACCATTGGAAATTTGAAGTATAAAAATTTATAAAAAAAAAATTAGAAATGTTTCTTTAAAAAAAAAGAAATAATATAAAATAATACTTATTCTATCATTCACCTGAATTTGAGTTTTAAATAAATAGAATTTTGGTTTAAATAAACTGAAAAAAATAAAAATAAATGAAAAAAATAATTTAAATAAACTGAAAAAATAAAATAAAAAATAAAAAATTTTCAGTTTAAACAAATCAAAAAAAAAAAAAATAATAAATAAACAGTTTAAATAAACTGAAAAAACAAGAATATTTAAAAAAAAAAATTCATTATAAAAATTAAATTTGCAATATAATGGTATATTATATACAATAACTATACTTTATATTATTTGAAAATTACTTTAATTTATTTTATTTTATAAATCTGAAGACCTTTATCTATTGTATATATAATTTTATCTTAAGTTATTAAGAGATCCAATTTTTTTTAATATAAATATTATTTTATATTTTTAAAGATCTTTATTAAATAGAGTTTTTAATTAACTTATTTATATATTGTTTAAAATTCTAACTAGTTTATCATATTTAAGATTATTTGTTTAAATTTCTTCAAAATCTTACAATTAGTTTTCTAAGATTTTACTATAGTTTTATTATAATTTTGGCAAAGTTTTAGCATTTTAACATTTATAATAAGTTTTACTAAGTTTTACTTTTCTTCAAAGTTTTGACAATTTTTTAATAAAATTTTTTACAATCAAAGCTTGTTATAGTGAACTTTCCGTTCCACTATGTAATTTTTTTCCTATAATGAGATTTATTAAAAAAATTTAATGTATCAAAAGAAATTAATTATAAAGAAAAAATCAATAGGTCACTATAATGCGATTTACTTAATGTTTACTATAACAAGATTCACTATAACGAGTTTTGACTGTATATAGTTTCAGCAAAGTTTTGCTATTTCAGTATTTTGCCAACTTGTTAAAATCCTTTAATTTCTACAACCTTAATTATACCATATTTTACTTATATTAAGTTTACAATGTTAGTTTTTTTTTAAAATTACCTTTTTTTGCTAATTTTATAAGTTTATATCACATTTTCTATTTAAAATATCTATTGCTTTTATTTAAATTTTCTGCTAATTATTTGCAAAATAATTTCCTGAAAAGTATTAGTAAAATTCATTAACTTGGAAATAAATCATAAATTAAATAATAAATAATCCAAATAATTAGATTATTTAGGAGTTATTTAAATAGCCAAATAATCTAATATTTGCTATTACTATTTTTTTATATATTTTTAGAATATTCCTTAATTTTCTTTATTATTAATACTTATACTTATCAGTTATTGCATTTTTTGATAAATAATTAAATTATACTTTAGTATTTTTATAATTATATAAAGTCATGCATTGTATTTTAGATTATAAATTAATATAAATTTATATAAATTTTTTAATTTTTTATATGTGATTTATTATGATTTATTATAGGTAAAATCATTTAATTTAATAAATTTATATATGGATGAAATCACTAGATGATTTTATATGAAGAGCAAATTAGCAATAGTCTATAACTTAAATAGAGTTAAATAAAGTAAAATTTTAATTTATATAAGTCAAATTTTTAAATTATATAATTGGAGTTATTACTAGCAGAGATCATTTACCAGTGTTACATAATTTTTTAATTTTGGCCGGAATTAAGCGATCGATATAAAATTTTCCTTTTTCGGATCATGTAACGTTACTCAAGTACCTAAAAAAAGGAAAATTTGGCCGGAATTATAAAATTTGGCTGAAATTATAGTATGTGACGAATAAGAGTGACAGATTATATATGATTAAAAGTCACGTGATACCGGCGGAAAACGTAGCAATTTTATTATATATTTATATTATTTAGCCAATTGTATTGTAATATTTAAGGAAAATTTTATTTATTTACATTAGTACTTGGAGTATTTGGTTTTATAAATAATAAAAAAGTAAATTTTATTTGCATATTTATCAATATTAGGTGTCAAATTATATATATATACTATTCATATAAAAAGTCTCTGTATACAACTCATATTCTGAGTACTAAAAATGGTAATATACAGTATAATTCAATTCTATTTAAAAGAAAATAAATACTATTATGATATTAATGAATAAAAAATTATAAGTCAAAATGTCAAATTAATTTTAAAAACTTTTAATAATACATTTAAAAGTGATAATAATATTTAAAATCCAAAATTTTATATTAAAAATCATATTTAAAAAATATTAATAAAAGAAAAAATTTATGAAGGTAAAACTGCTATTTTGCGGATTGTGGAATTCCATAAATCCTACGCGGATTCACATCGAATTTTGTGGATCTACACCGAAGATACCACCACGTGTTTGTCATAGGGTATTGGGAAAATATTTGTTCCTTCCAGATGAACATTAAATTTATCCGTCATCCGAAAAATCCGATCCCATTAATGTATCTGTCATTTGTTTAACCGCATATCCGACAAAAAAATTCGGATATATCCGTTCGATTCGGATATAAATTTATCTGGATAAATATCCGATCTTAACTATTATCTGACGTGATTTTAGAAAATTAGCTGTATAAAAATAAATTTAATACTTTCTATCATAAATAGATATTTGATATTGGCTGAAATTTGTGTGACAAATTACCTCAGCATACTTTTATTAAAACTAATTTTACGTACAGTAAATAAATAAAATATAATCTTGTAAGTCACCCCGCCCGCCCAATTGCCCAATTTAAGTTTAAATTACTGGTGATGATTTTATTGATAGTTTTATGTAACTATTATCTATTACTTATGTCATGCACCTTCCTTTTGAACAAAATTTTTTGATATGAAAAATCCATCTGTCATGATGCCGTAATTCCAGCCAAACTGGTTCATTTTTAAAATTAATAATTGATATATACAAGTTATAAAAATAAATCAAATTTCTTTTAAAAAGATAAAAACAGGCCAAATCACATGTTCTGTGCACATATGATTTAAAGTATGTTAACTGTTTGTTAATCCAAATCGTAATATACTTCAAATCCTATATAAGGAAAAGACATTATAAGAATAACCGATAATTAGGCTGATTATTTCCGATTATCCAACCTCAAGTTGATTATTAATGCATAAATAGTGAAATCATATGTGATCGACCTTTTGAAGGAGTGGAGAAAATTCATATTTCGTATTTGAATGACAGCATTTAAATTAATAATTTTTTTTTAAGGGATTATGGAAAAAATTTAATTTAATATTTAACAAAAAAAAGAATTGATTTTAGTTTTCGAAGTTTCCATTTTCATATAACATATGGAAAATCTAAGATTTTTATTGACTGGATGATCAACACAAGAAATTCCTTTAACTGCAGAAAATGTGTTTATATAATATCTATTTATGTTTCGTAATCGAGTATCACAGTTTTAACAATATGGATTTACTTTGAGCCGAGTTTCACCGTTTTTAGTATATTTCTTAAGAAATTTCTTTTCTAGAAATCATTAGGTTGATCAATTAACCTAAATAGTACAATTATTTTTAATTGACCAATCAATCTTGTTACAATTGTAATAATATCATTGTTTAATAATAGATTTATTTTAGGGAAAAAGGTTTTTAGGATCTGGATTTTTGATTCTGGATTAATGGTAACGTTAAAAACTGTTGAGAAATTATTGCCTTTTAAGCATAACCATTGTCTCCAAATTCGAACGTTCTTTTTTTGATACTTTTTTGTCTTTCATATTTGCCGAACAATTTAAACAAAAAAAGACAAAAACTTTGTCATGTTATTCGATCTTATCCGCAGTATTATTATAATAGTATTATAACATATTTAATAAAAATAGATTTAAGTCGGATATATCATAATAAAACAAAGTTAGATAAAAGAAAATTCTTTGGATTAATTGCAGATTGGTTCATAAATGGTTTGTTTGTTCAAAAGAAGTTTCTTTATTTCAAGTAATACATTAGAGTTTTTTTTATAATTCACACGTACTCCGTACGACACTAACAAAACTTTAGCCAATTCTAATTTATGCAAATCTATTGTATATTATTTATTGTAACAATTAATTATGTTTTCGTATTAGTATAGCGTGATCTACAAATTGATTTGTTTATCGTACGATTGTTAGTCGTCTCATCTATCTTGTTAATTGAAAAAGTTTCTTCTCCATTTTTTTTTCTTTTTTTATCTGTTAGCTGTCTTTAGATACGCCTTAGTAAGCCCAGTTCATATAAAATTTTATTCACCTATTTTAGTTATTTCTTTCGGTTTAGCATCGGAACTAGTCGTAACAGGTTTGTGTGACCTCAATAATTTAACTGATAAATGTATACTTTTTGTAATTCGGAAAATTCGGTTATACAAATTTTATTTGAAATTCGGCTCGAAATCCGCCATATTTTGCACGTTGTTTAGTGATTGGTAGAATTTAGATAATTGAATTTCAAATTACTGCCCGAATTTCAAATTTACTATCAAAAAAATTTTAATTAAATACGTGCCTTCAACTTTCTCCTCCTATTCACTACGGTTCATTTTTTTCTTTCTTTCTTTTTTTTTACTGCCATCATGAGTAACAAGAATAATGCCCGCGATACTACCTTCTCTCATGATGAGAAACATAATATTACCATGTTCATTATAGGCATCATGTGCTTTAAATTTGCCTTCGAGAGTCTTAGGTATGTGTTACCATTTTTGTGTACCACTCCGGTCGAAAAATTATTTCTTTCTTTAGTATTGAATAATTCATTAAACTTGTTTTTTATCTACTTTTTTTTAGTTCATCCATTTCTTTTCTAGCTCAGGAAAAGTTTGCGAAATCTATAGCTCTTACCATGACTCCCGTTTTGACATCATGTTGTAAGTAAGACAGAAATTAATGATCTTGAATGTTCATGCCGTACAGAAAGTAACTTATCTCTTTATGTTTACTTTAGTTAATATAATGCAATGTATTTGTTCTATTGGAGCTGCACAACTTCTGGTACGATTTCGGACAAACGTTATATTAGCGTTCAGTATGTTTTGTTTCGGAGCACTTGCTCTTGTTCTCATTATTGTTGATGCATCAACTGGTGGTAAATTTGAAAGTCAAGGTAATTGGACCCCTTGGATCCTTTTCCCAATATACCTTCCTATGGGAGGCTGTCTTGGAGTTTTGGAGCTCGTTAGGCGTGTCTTGCCTCGTGATATCGTTGGTGAAAATCCAGAAAAATTAAAAAAAATGGACGCACACGTACACATCTTTTATGAAATTGCTGGAACTTCTGGAGCTTTCGCAACTACTCCCCTCGTTAAGAAGATGGGCCCCGTTTACGCTCTAATGCTTATTCCAATTCTGTTCACTGCTGCTGGTTTTATTTGGCTCAGAATTAAACATAATCCCAACGCTCCTTCAGATATCAATAGAAATAAAGAAACTGATAGTTCCGATCGAAAGAATATTTTCTACTTATATTTTTACTCCGTAAAACGTGGAGCACAAATCGTTTTTTCGGAACGTCGATTCATCTGGCTTATGGGAGGCTATGTTTTGCCTTTCGTCTTCCACAGATTCATTGAGAACGTTATCTTTCCAACATTTGCAAATCAAGTTCTCAAAGAAAAGTCTTACTCTTATATCCTCTTAGGAGCATCTAACTTTGGAGAACTTCTTGGTGCATTTGTCGTTCTCTTATTTGCTTCAAAAGTTGCCACCCCTCTACCTTGGGTTCGTTTTGACGCCGTTGCTTTAATGACACTCTGGATATTTCCCTTTTTACCCGTTAAATCTGCACTTTCATGGGCTTTGAGTGCACTACCACTTATGATCGTTCTTTCTATGGGATGGGCAGCTGGTGATGTTTCTCTCGTGGCCTATATACAATCTAGATTGCATTCAGTTAATATTCAAGCAGATGCGGGTACTTCACCACTTGGATGTGTCATGGCTTTCCTTTATTCTTCATATATCATCGTCTTTACAATTCTCTCAATTCCTCTTGGAAGAGTTTTTGATGCATATAAGGCAGCTAATAATATAAATCAGGCGTTTTTATATATTGCAGGAGTTATGATAACTGTTGGTGCAGTTGTTATTTTTGCAAGCACTTTTGTACCAAGGCACTCGTGGGCTTTTAATCCAAAGGTTGATCCTGATGATGATATAGCAGCTAGTGAAGAAGAAGAAGTTAAAGGAGAAAAAGAAAAAGGTTCTGTCAATCTCGTCGAAGCTATAAGCATGGCCTAATCGTACTTTATTTCATTAAGTAGTTAGGAGTATAACAAGCATTTATTATTATATATTCTAATTAAGCAAATTTATGCAACTATTTAATAGTTGGTTGTATGTAAAATGTGGACTTATACATATTATGTTATTTTTTACCTTATGTATAAAAAAAAAAAATGTATTTTTAGTATTTTTATTTAATTAATATTAAATTATAAAAAAAAATTAAATCACTATTTTCCTATTTTCAGATTTTCAAAAGTTATTAAATTTTTTTTTCAAATGTCACATATTTCTAGATGTTACAATAAAAGTAACTCTCTATTGGTTACACGAAATCTTGATTGCATAATATTTTTTTATCCTTATTACGTTCAAAAACGGGTGTTACGATAACATTGTAGTGTATGGCGTGATATCTTACAGCAACAACCGATAGTATTGGGTCACGTGTTGGGAGTGATGTCTACGGTCTGTTTAACCAACCGTTAAAAAAAGATATAAACCTAAAAAACTGTTCTACTAATATACTAAAAGATGCTTTGTTAATATACACAGTGAAATTCGATATACCGGAACCTTGGTATAACGGAACATAAGTAAAGTCTTAATACATCGTTATAATCTAACGGATTTCTCGATATAACGGATTTTTGACAAATTTTACTAATGGAACGGATGGTTCCATTATATCGAATTTCACCATGTACCTTTAAATAATAATATAGGGCGGGACAATGACTTTCTTTTAGAAACGCGTATAAAACATCTTTCTCAAATAATTTAGACCACTTATTAAAACCAATACTAAAGAATTTTTACCGATCAACCATCAAGACATTAAGTGAAATAACTAAATCTCTTCGTGAACAATTTGAAAATTGCTGAAATTCCAAATTTTATTTTATTTTATTTTTTATAATACTGTTATCTGTTATGGTTAAGGAAACAAAACGACTACAAATAACGAATCTACATAATAGAATTCTATGTAATCAAAAAAAAAATTAAACTGATCTCAAAAACCACGAAGATAACACCCCACAGTTGGTAAAATGACATGAAGCCCAGATTCAACTGAGAGCCGTCCAGACAAAAACAAAAAGAAAAAGAAAAAGAAACTAAAAAAGAAATTAAACACACTGGGAAAAATAAAGAGTAAAATAATATTCTGACTAAGGAGAAACAAACGTCTATTAAAGTAAAAAATTTAAATAAACTCCACAAAAGCCGACTAATTTTTGCAAAAACCTCTTCACGATCTGTTGCAGTCTTGCCCCTCTTGTCTTGTTTCGTCACCTACACTTGCTTCCTGTTCTTGGACTTGAGGTCCTTCAACTGGTTTTGTTTCTTCACTTGGTCACTTGGTCTCGATTCGAAGGAGGAGATTCCTTTCTTCTTGAAGACTGTGTTTTTTTTGGTTGGCTTGGGCGGAGAGTGACGAACGAACTGGAATTCCTTCCTGTATCAAACTTGGTTTGTATCTAGTGCTTCTCGCTTCGATTCTCATGTTTCGTAATACGCCACAAGTTTCCTCTTGCATTTTGCCATTTGAACTATCTTGAAAGACTTCATCTCTGAAATCGTCAAGAATACATGGGGTTTTCGGTCAACCCACAAACTTGCGTATGACATATAATCCGGAATATTTCTCTATCACAGCTTGGAACTGTTCCCTTTCTTTGCGTTCGCGGAGGGTTCAGTTAGTGGGGAACCAGTGTACCGGTATACCACCAAGGTCCGTCATCAAATCGTTCCTTTTAAAGGTGACTACAGTGAAGGAGGACAAGGCTATCTTTCTGATATTTGTGTTGTCATTTATATGATGACTTATTTCTGCCATTTGCTGAAATTCCAAATCATTACCGAAATTCCAAATACAATGTGTTATATGACATTATACAAGTTCAAAAAATGGACACTTAATTCTGGCCAAAATCTGTAATCAAACCGATAGAATTTAGTCAGTGGTTTATGCGGAAGGTTTTAACCCAAAATTTCACATGGTATACAATTAACAACCAGTCCTCGGACATACTTTACCAATATGGCAATAATTGACCGGTTAATTCTGGTTGTACGTTGTATAGAGAACCATTGTCATCCAATTTTGTTATTTTTCACATTTATATGTAACCGCTCATGCACAGGCACGTGTTTATTAATGAATGCATAAAACAATAGTTCAACCCATTTTCACTTCATTCCATTTTTTCAAGAATTATAAAGATGATAATGGATTATTATTATTATTTCCATTATTTAATGATAATAATCATCATCAATTCATTGTCAGTTTTCTGTCAGGAACAGAGTCAAAGAGAATATCGTGAATTAATAACAGAACAAATTATTTTCTTACCTAAATATTATCAAGTTTTTAACCATACTGACTTACCAGTTGTAAAAAACGAGTTGTCAATTACGCTAAAAATAAATATTATAAAACATGAATACAACGGCTACTACCATACCATTTTTTATAAAGGTATTTTATATATGATTATTAAGTATTATTATTATCTTAAATTATACTTATTTTTACATTTAGGTAACACATCTGACAATCAAACACCTTCACTCTGGCTAAGAGCAACTGAACCAGTTCCGTTAGTAAGGTGTTCGACTACTAGTAACATTAGAACTGGATTTGAGTTGGATGATTATGAATTCCGAATTACTCAATGGTACCATATAGCTTATACAATTTCAGACCCTGATAAACGAATGAATTTGTATATAGATGGTAAATGGGTTGGATCTTACAGTCTCAGAATAATCCAGAATGAATTTATCATATTCAATGATGAGCCGTTATATATTGGAAAAAACCCCCATTCCGCTAGTAACGATGGATTTTTTGGACTAATTAGGTAATAAAGTATATGTGAAATCTAATCAATCAAATTAACAGTTATTAATTATTACTTATTTTCAAAAAAAAAAATAATAGTAATTTTCGTTATTATAACTTTCGTCTATCTCACGAAGAAGTATTAAAGGATTATTCGGTGAGAATTCATTTAAGTTTATTATATTTATACACATACTTTTAGATTTTCTCATACTTTTTTTTAAAATTTAGGGTGAAGATCCAACAATAATCAATGATGATGATTCGGGAACAACTAGTAATTTTATTTTAGTTATAGTATCATACTTTCTTGGTATGATAACTTTAGCAGGTGGTTATATTCTACGTAATAGTATAAATCGAAGACAATATCAAACAATCGATTGAAGAATTAAATAATAGATTTTTTGGAATAAAAAAGTAAATATATTTCATTACGTTAAAAATATGCCTGCATTGCAAAGAAGCGGTGTAAGATCATATTTCATTAAATTTAGTTATCACTAAACGGGGAAGTTCAGTCTAAATCATAGGAGACCTTAAAAAATAATGAATTGAACTGAAAAAATTAAAAATTTGTATGGAGATAGATACCTACTTTCAAAATTTTTTACACATCACTTATTTGATTTTATTGTCGTTATGTAAAATAAATAAATATTTCGTTTAATGTTACATTAAATTCTTATCAAAAATTTAAAGACGTGAAAAATTTTTCAAAAAAAAAAACAAAAAGTACTTTATTGGAACAGTTGACGACACTAAATAGTGCTTGACTAGAAGTGTGATATTACATTTTCTGTGAAATGAATACGAAAAAAATATACCAAATTAAACCATTCACGTTACAGAAGAATTTATGATAGCGCAGTAAAATTATATCACTATCGAAGACCAACCAAACCAAGAATCGTGTCTTACCATAGTAATTTTTCGATCAGCTTTGGTTTTGGAATGTCATGAGAAAATCAATTAAAAATATGTATCCATATAATACACATATTTTCGATTAATTTATAGTTGATGGTAATGTTGTTCCTACATATATTCCTGTACAGATATTAACTGATCGCTCAAGGATGGACAATAGTATCCTTACTAGTGTACAACGGACTTTTCGAAGAAAAGGGGAGGGAAGATACTGTAAGGACCGGTTAAATTCAGCACATGTTATAGTAAGAATAGTTATTATATGTCAACTTATAAAATGGGAAGAAGTAACATACAGTACATTCATTCCATTTGATATTGTGTTGTCAATCAGGCAGAAAAACACAATTGAAAGGGATATAACGATATTCATTCATTAGGGGAGAATTGGTCGTCAAAAACATTGGGAATTTTTGTGCCATATAAAAAATAGTAGTTTTATTTTGTTTTATTTTTTTCACACTTATTGTTACGCCCACTAGTTATGGACATTTAGAAAAAGAGAGATGAAAATCAATAGGTTAGGAACTGATGAAAAATAAATACGAGAACAAATAACATATTACATATGATGCAAATGTTGCCCCGTTTCAGTGAACTATTTAAAGCTACTATTTGTGTTACTTCGTCAATGATGTGTAGAAAATGGAGTCATTAAGGTAGTAATCTAAGAAGGAATACAGTTATACAGGGGCACATTCTATAGTTGCTCAACATTGTGTAGCGGTATAGAAGTATCTACGTTATTGTACTATGACCATCTCGCTTCTTAACCACGCTCTTAACATCTGTTACCCATACACTATTGTTATATACTCTATTAATGAATCATGAAAAATCAGAACATATATAAATGACGTACTAGGCCCTACACATAAGTTCACTTCCTCCAGATTCACATAATTAACGAATTTCTTACATTTTTTCTTCTGATAACAACGAATCATCATACGTTCTTATACATTCTTGTATTTCTCATTGTAGATTTTCAGATGTTTTCGTTTCATATGGAATCGATTGTGCTATTAACAAGAACACTATATCAACGGTTAATAGATATTAACTAAAAATACATCGAAAAAATAAATGGATATATATATTATATCCGATCCGCAGGATTCTGATTCACACAACAAAATATAAAATGGATTACCTTTTTGGGTGTGACTGAGCGTAGCTCATTTCGTCAGAAATTCATATTTTTTGATCTATTCATCATAAACAGTAATTTGTAGTGGACAAATGAGTTGTTGATCGCAAATGATAGTTGTATTATTTCTCATCGCCTACAGGTATTACAATTAATAGTTATCCAAAGATTTCCATACAAGGTAAAACACTGATAAGCTATTTACAAGGTTCCTTTGTGTCATACCTGAAGGGTAACAAATAGCAATTGCATATAAACCTTCGTAAGTGCAATACAGTCAACTCTCTCTAATTACCCCCCTTGGGACCATAATGAAAATTTGAAAAAACATGCATTTAGAGAGGGAGTGCATTTAGAGAAGGAAATTTTATATGATCTCTATATACTTGGGACTGAGTAAGAAGGTGCATTTGGAGAAAAAATATATAATACGTGCACTTAGAGAGAGTGCGCTTAGATTATCCTGTGTAATACAAAAGATTATTGTCAATTCCTATATGCTATTACGGAATCACGTGATTTGCGAAAAATGCATACTACAGTAGTTAAAATTTAGATTATTTAGCCAAAATTGGGTTACAATACAAACAATAAATTTTTTTTTATTGTGGTTTTGAATTTGCATGGAGTAATGAAGAATAATACCAAAATAACAAATTTAAATCAACTTAAAAATATTATATATAATGTTTATAAATGTAAGTTGTTGGAATAATGAAATTAAAAAGATGCTATATTTATTTTTTTTAAAAAAAAATTTAATTTTTTCTATATAGTATAATTTTTTAATTTTTGGTTTATAATTATACTTGATTATATTTAGTTTTTATTGTACCCTTAAAGGGAGCAAGTCACTTTATTATTTTATCTAGGAAGATATATCAAACAAGAAAGACTTCTACAGTTCTACTCACATGCAAATATACCTCATAAGTAAGAGTTAGGTTAAAAAAAGAAAACAGTAGTTAGCAGCAAATGGTAGCAAAATTGTATAAATAATTGTGTTAGTATTAAATCAATTAAATAATGTAAAAACTAATGGAATTTTAAAATGTTAGATAAAATTTGTATAGACAATTTTAATTTAAGATTGCTAATTATATAGAAATATTAAAAAAAAACCTCAATATGATCCATTTAACTAATTGTAAATGTTTAAAAGATAAGAAAATTATTAAGTTAGTAAATTATTTTAAAAAAATAGTTAAATTTTAATTTTTTTATTAAATATAAATTATAATTATATAATACAGTGCAAAATTTTTATAATAAAAACAATGTATTTTTTATCATATATAATATACATTATAAAGATTATATTTAATAATATCATGCTTGATTTTATTATTAAAATATTAAAATAATAACATAATTTTTTTTTTATTATCAAAATAATATAGATCTTATCAAACAATTAAAATGCAAAAGTTTTTCTTTTTCTTTACTATTATTTAACAATTATATTTATTAAAAATTAAGTATAATATGGATTTATTTTAATAATTAAAAGAAAGTATTTATTATTTTGCTATCTTGAAAGATGATAATAAATAAAATTCTAAAATTACTTATATTTAAACTGCTCCAATTTGATTATATGTTTAATATTCAGAATTTATAAAAAGTTTATTTAATAAGAAAGAAAAATTTACAATAAACAAATAAACATAATATAACTTTTGGGAAAATATATTTATTATAGGACCCCGGACATCACATTTATAACTCATAACTGATCTGCATGAATTTAAGTATTTTTTGCTTCTGCTAAAATAGACCTAATTTGCTAAAAATCAAATTATCACATTTCAAATCTATACTAATTTGCTAAAACTCAAAATATGAGTTAATAATCTTTTTTTTTATTATCAATAAAAAAATAAATGATTAATATAAATTAAACTGCCAATTTTTATAATTAAAATATGTAGATTATAGATAAAATAATAATTAATAA